GATTGCGCTATTGAGCATGGACTGCGCTGCCATTTTATATCATATAGCATCGTGTTACGCTATTGGTGACAATTTTGCCTACAAGAATTCGGTCGGCGACAAATAAATATCATGTCAACCTCATCCTGTGACATACTCTCTGACTGTTGAACTGTTGTAGCCATCTTGAAGATCGCTCGGTGCAGTTCACAGCCCTGTCTGCTATATCAGTTGAAATTGCACGGCATTGAGGCAAAACTTCTTGGCTGGGTGAGGGCTCGGATTCTAGACAGGAAACACAGAGGAGTACCTAATGGCACGAAATCTCAGTGGGAGCTGGTGGGGAGTGGGATTCCACGGTGGTCCGTGTTGGGCCCTTTGGTCTTCATTGCTTTCGGGAATGACGTTGAGACAGGGTTAGAAACCGGGCGCTTAAGTTTGCTGATCGTATTAAATTGGTAGGGGTATCGAAAAAAGGCCAACCAGGTGAAACTTGAGTTAGAGAAATTAGCGAACTAAGCTTTTCTGTGGCAGATGCCATTCAGTTATGATAGGTGTTAGGTGATGGATTTATGTGGTTCTGTCAGGGAAGGCATTAGCTATTAAATGGGAGGCCGGGGTTGGACCAAATCGGGAAAGAAAAGGGCTTAAGGCTTGCAATTCAAGTGATTTAAAGGCTTAAAAGGACTGTGGGGCTACTAGTGGGAAGGCACTTGAGATGCTGGGACTCATTTTAACAGGAATGTCCAGTATAAGAGTAGGAATGTTATCAAACGGCGCACTTAGCTTATGTCAGACAACCACTTGAGTATTGTGCTCAGGCTTGGTACCTATGCTTCCAAAAAGATATGGATAGGCTGGGAAGAGTACGGCGGAAAGCAATTAGGATGATAAATGGGATTGGCAACTTATAATGCAAGGATAAGCTTGGACCTTGGATTTGTACTCACCGAAATATAATAGACCGAGAAGGATCTGACAGATGCATTCAAGCGTATACAAGGGATAAAAAATGTAAACCTACAATGGCCACTGGAAATTGGGCCGGGACTGAGAGGAAACCAGTTTCATTAAGCAAAAGAATGAGAAGAACTATGAACAGGCAGATGTCATTTAGTCAAAGAGTAGCGAATCACTGAAATGGACTGGCAAACGAAGTTGTAGTAAGTCCCTCTCTAGTAACATCTAAAAATTGTTTGGACAAGTTATATCGGTCTGAAGATCACATTCATAGCTAAATTCAGGCAGCTCAGGCGATAAGATAGATTGGGGATGTGTAGGGTAACCTCGAAGTGTCCTTGTGACTCTTTTTTGGCCTTATATCTTAATGTCTTTCTGTCTTAAGACCTAAACCCCTCTACTTTCTGAGCTATACGCCCGCAAAGCTGCGCAGACTATTTCGGGCAGACTATTCAAGATCACCCAGGCATCCCTGACGCCATGATAACGCTATTCAAATGCTGCCATTTCATCAGCCATGCGGCGATCAAGGCTAGACAAATATAATCGTCGAGTCATTTATATCCGGTATTCATAAGCCCGATTTCCAGATAAAGTGGCCGCCAATTGGATCTCAATGTTGTACGATATACGATGACGTAATCAAACAATGGCGCATTGAGAAGCATATTCATTTAACAGAAAAACTGTGGTTTCTGGAGCAGCCTTTTCCATGTCAAAAGTACCACAATCGTTATAAATGAGCTTATTTCATCACAGCTGCTGCTGTTATGGGCCCTAAATGACCACAGCAGTCGACGCGCCATAAAAATCCAATCAACAACAACAACGTCTGATGCTCGCCTTAATATTTTTAACTGTGGAACATTCCCTTTGACATGCCACGGATCTTGCCGTGGTCTCTTGAAGTTTTTGCTAGACGCTCCGTCACGTCTTGCACAGAAACCTCTCGGGTGCAGTCAGACGAGCACAATTCACCAACAGCGTGGATCTAACAGGTTGTGCCTCTCTACTGATTAGAGAAGAGAGCTGTAACGACACCCACGTCAGCCACGTCACCCAAATTAATGACGACAAAATATGTTCATATTGCTGGAATGCTTCTTCAAGTTGGCTGCGCAAAAGTTAGTCACAAATTATGCATGCATTTTATTACTTTCATGATGACTTTTGCCAAGGTACATCGGCACTACGCGCGTCATGAGCACCGGAGACCATCACTGCCCAGCGCTGCGTTTTGACGATGCGTGCGATGTCCAGCGCTTGCTGGTTGGACCAGCGGGAAGCAGTCGAAGGCCGGCTTCGCAGTTTGCAGGCGGGAGTCCGCTTCATAACACGGAGACGTATCTTGGGACACTTCATGAACACCGGTCAAGATAGCGATTAGTGTTTATTTTGGACATAGTGGTGCGTTGAAAATGGTAACGGGACTGCCGACGTGCCTTAAGTGGTCAGTTCTTGCAGCATTGACACGTGAACTGGCAATGCAGCACGCTGGTCCCCAGTAACGTAATACAGTGAAGTGATGCGTGATAATACATATATTGATAGAGAAACACCGAGAGCGTACACGTTGGTTCCAACATGGCGCCTATGCCGCACGACCTGCTACTCGTCATTTGTCTTTGTACATGCTCGTGAATAATACACCGTCGCGAGCTTTATAACAATTGTTGAGACCTGCTTTGCCGGCCCATGTGTAACTGGCGGTGCAGTATCCCAAGTTTTCGCTGCATAACCGCAGAGCGGCTGTGACGGAGCTCAGCACGAGTCCAGACGGTGACAGACTGGCGAAAAACCCCCACCGGCACTCGATATTGCGCCACCAACGGCACTGCCGGGGGTCGCCGGAACCCCCCTTTCCCATTGCAGCTGCACACCTGCCGTGCAGGAGCAAGAAATCAGGGTGGTGTGGTAGGCGATATGTGTCAGTAACTCCTGCGCGCGTCGCTTCGCAGCATCTCACACGACTGACCTGCCAGGACTGGTCGAGCGAGGTCAAACCATTTTCGTGAGGTATGTGCTTGGCCTCCCATGTGTCCGGAATGTTAGGTTCAGGTATGCGGAGAATATGCCTTTTCTTTCCAGAGAGCAATGCGATTTCACCTGAGGCCAATTCATGAGCTTCAATGAGCGCAACATGCGGTGGACTAGCACTCATGAGTTTTCAGTGTGACGGTAATATATGTCCATACACTGCGAATATTTGCCAACGTTATTTTGAGTGACCACGAAGGCCTGAGCTCGCCTGGCCTTTAATTACTCTCACGCCACGATTGTCACATCTCAGTTTAGTTGTTTTACGGTGCGAGTTGGATGGCTGATGTGAAGTGATAGTCAAGATGTCAACCAACGGCGACCCTGACCTGAGATAACGTTAAAGGAGATGACGCGCATCGCTGGTGGATAGTCGGTGGCGTGATTATCTCCTAGGCGCAGGTGGCGCCACCATCTAAACCTATAACCTCCGCGCTATAACTTGGCTCAGATTTATGCAAAGTTCATCTGCACACATGTAAGTTGAACCCTATAGGCGTGACACGCCACTCGTTTTTTGACATGTCATCTGACGGTCCTCGATGAACAAAATGAATGAGCGGCTCGAAACGGACGACGAAACGGACGACCCATGTCCATACCATACGCGAATCGAAACACGTTCTTGTTGCGTCGGATTCGTAACATTTCCTAGATCCTTCAATTCCATCAATAGCTACCTAATTCCAAAACAGCATGCGTAAAATTCAGCGAGATATTGCACAGACGACTTAAATATGTAGGACTTATCAAAATAAGGGCAGCGCAAAGTATCAATCATTGCCTCCGTTTTGACACTGTCGTAGTGCAAAACCTTATACAAATGTGAAACACTTCCTTTAAGTATTTGGGTAACGTGTGACGAAGGCTAGCGTTGCTCCATTCCGCACGAGGGTCAGATCCGCGCCTGCTGCTGCCCTCAGCGGTCTTCAACATCTTGTTCATATTAGCATTAATTGCCGCACATTTTCCACATTTGCAGATATTGAAGGTGTGGTGTCTTGGCTGGTGTCGGGACTACTGGGAGGCTGCTACGATCAGCCGATATCGCCCGTGTCGTTGAGGCCCTCCTCATGCAGCGATTGACTGGTCAGCGGAGGTCTCGTGGGTCAGGAAGTGGGGTCGACTAAAGGTTCAAGAATAACAGGTCACGTCGGGTTCGGGTGACAGCCACGCGGTAGTTCTGACCTGGGAGCAGGCCGAGGTAGCCGGTGTCTATGGCTGGACTGTGTGGCTGCAGCCTGTGCAGCGTTACAGTTGCATCGATGGATTCAAGCGGGTAAGATGATTCAGGGGTTAATAGTACGTTGATGCGGGTTATGAGCGGGAGAAACTCTAGCTCAACAACAAAAGACGCTGCAGAAGCGAGCATCAAAGATGATGAAATAAGCTTGCCGTTAACTATTCGCATATTTTCAGATGAAAAACTGCTGTAGAAAAGACAGTTTCTCCATTTGGTGAATCTGTTCCTCAATACGGCGTTGTTAAATTGCGCCAATGTACCTTGAGAGAGACCTGTAAATATACCTTGCACATTGAGAGACAATTGACGGGCGTCTTATTTGGAAGTCGTGCTCACGAGAGCCAGATATGAACAACGCGACAATTATATTTGTCCTTGCCATGATCGCCACATGGCCAATGAAATGGCAGGATTTCAGGGACGTCATTGTGATATCATGAATGTCATGGTGACTTCCAAATATTCTCCCCGAAACTACCGTCCCCATTTTCGCAGGCGTCTAGCTCAGACTAGAGAGGGTTATATGTTAGGAACGGGAGGGCTGTGAACTACACCAAATGATCTTAACGAGCGCTACTTCAGTTCAAATCCGCATACGAATGTGAAAAGCTCCCTTTAAAGCTCTCAGTGTCGCACATCGAACGAGAACGTTCAGTGTTGCCATGCTTACTCTCAGTAGGGTACAGTGCAGTCAAATGCACGGCCTTAAGAATTTACCGCACAGTGCCCACCCTGTCGGCGTTATACACATCCCATGCAGCCTCGCGTCCGGCTGACTCACCTGAACGGTGTGCCAAGCCTCATGCTGCTCCAGGCCGGGCTCGGAGCATCGCACACTGGGGCACTCTAGCTGAGAACGTTCCGCTTCCGATCGCACGACCTGAGAACAGTCCGCTTCCGATCGCACGGGCTGACAATGGTCCGTTTCCGATCGCACGGGCTGAAAACGTTTCACTTCCAGTCACCCGAACTGAGCACGCTACACCACCGGACAACCGAGCTGAGAACGTTTCACCGAGAACTGCCCAGCTGAATCCCCTCTCTTGAAGGACATTCCAGCTCAACGCGTTCCACTTCCCGACACCGGGACTGGGAACGTTGCGAGAACGGACGCCTCAGCTGAGGACATGCAAACCTCGGCCACTCGAGCTGAGGGCGTCGGAACTCGTCCACGCGAGCGGAGCACGCCTGGCGCGCTGCCGCCCGGACCTCCTGCTGCTCACTGGGCGGAAGACGTCCGGCTCGTCAGGCCCCCCCCCCCCTCCCCCCGCCCAGCGAACGGTGCGTGGCTACACCGCACGGAGGCACGTCGAGGTCCAGTAGAGTGAGCGACGGCTCTGCAGGGACCGCTCGGCAGACGAGGGCCAGCTGCAAGGCGTGCAGAGCTAACGGAGCTCGGCGACGGACGTATGTGGGTCACACTGCGGGCGGATGGGGGTCACACTACGGGCGGATGGTGGTCAGTCACACTACGGGCAGGAGGGGTCACACTACGGGAGGATGGGGGTCACATTACGGGCGGATGAGTGTCACACTACGGACGGATGGGGGTCACACTACGGACGGATGGGGTCACACCGCGGGCGGATGGGGGTCACACTACGGACGGATGGGGTTCACACTACGGGCGGATGGGGGTCACACAACGGACGGATGGGTGTCACACTACGGACGAATGGGGGTCACACTACGGGCGGATGGGGGTCACACCAGCGACCGGTGACAGCTAGCCGCATTATGACGGCGACACCTTGAGGTCACGCGTGCGGGGCATGAAGCAGTGATGTGAAGTAGGGCATAGGCCGGAGTAACTACCCAGGAGCCTGGCTTCAGTCGCGCATTCTAACGTGGTGACTACAGACAGGCGCCAGGGCATGGAATAAGTGTGCGATTTGAGTCTATGGACAGGAGTTACTTATCGACATATTGACATCGGGCAACAAAGAGCCCCAGGGGCCCATCGAGGTTGGCCTACCCCAGTTTACGCACGCGTGCTGAACACTAATCTCACCACCTGACCTGCCTGATTTTGAATAATGTCTACGAGTATTTTGAAAGGAGAAAAGTGTTTAACGACTTAAAGAACAGTACATAATGGAGATAATGGATTTGAATTTTGCCTTGCCTCCATATTCCACACTCGCTGCACGTTTCCACGCGATCGGAATGCGTGAGACAAACAGACTGCGTGCGTAATACCGCCACCGGATTCGAACAACGTTCAACGACTACAGGACGCCCCCTCCCCCCCCCCCCCCCCGACGTGACACGTTTGAATGCAAATTGGTCACTGGATGCGTGGATATTGAAACCACCCTGTTGCCACGGACACTGCTTGTTGCATTGAGCGCGGGGACATAATTGTTCAGCCGTTGCGTGATTCTCACCACTCGTAATAGAACAGTTTGCGAGCAAAACCAGTTTTTTGCTAAATCTATGCCATGTGGTTTCCGGCATATGACTTTTGGCTCGGCGTGCCTGTTAGTTACATCCTGTTGCGCCTACACTGAGCACACAGCTCAAAATGTGTGATCCGGTTTTAACACGCGCCCGGGTGGCCGGCTAGATACCATTCGCTCGTAACCCCCTCAAATCTCAGGAACTAAGATACCAAATTTACAAGGTGTCTTAACTTGTACGTGAACTCACTTAAGTCAAAGTTGGATGTGCCTAGGTCATGACCTTTGGGTCAAATAAGGTCAAACAAAGTCAAATTCCGGGTTGGCCTCCAAAGTGTTCCCTGAAGCTAGATAACTGTGTCCAAGCAAAAGGCCACGAGCTCATTTAAGGTCAGTGACCTTGTTTGGACTTAAAAAAGTCATGGTCACCAAAATCATACAAGACTGCTTTGAGTTTTGCATTTGAGTGGGCGGCAAAGATTGTGCTAGGCGGTATGTTCCTAAAAAATGTCGAACTAGGTATTCTTAGGTCAGTGACCTATTCTGACCTCCAAGAAGTCAATGGAAGATGTACAGTGCGGTTCCTGCTACCAATAAATTCGAAATGAGCACCAGAAACTATCCCATACAGCAAGCAGTAGAGTGATAGAACAAGTAGGTTTTGACTTTGGTCTGACCTTCATAACTGGACCTTAGGTAGACTTAATTTGCTCATTCAATATTTGTGTTGCCTAAGACAGCATCTCAGAGATGTGTGGCTTCGTTAAACACTCCGTTCTTGCATCAGATTGAAGGATTCCCTAGAAATTGCCTTCCCTGAAACCGTGGCCTGACTTTGGCCTGCTATAGGCCAGCGATCTTGCAAGGTACGTCTTAATATTTGATACCAAACGATCCGCTATTCCATTATCTACAGCTATGCAAAATTTGGCGCGTCTACACCGCGCCGTTCGAAAACTATGCCGGGAAAACCTTTGGGGGCGGTCAATTTGACCCCCACCCGAGCGCGTGTTAAGGATGATCTTAGGTGATGATGATCTAGATGATCTATGATCTGTTGAATGAAGTTATGTCGTCAGTTGCATCAACAGTGCCAAGATACGACAGCGTCGTTATGCCTGGCACGAAACATACCTCCGCTTTGCTTTACATTTAATCAAAATTAGGGGCATAACTCAGCCTTCAACTTTGAGGGAGTCTAAGCCATTTTTAAGATAATTGGGATTTATGTGAAATTTTGGAAAGTATGGTGCAACAAGAAAGCACTCGGCTACAAAATATTTAGAGCTTTTGTACTACGTGCTATGATTTTAAGACTTTTCTTAAAGCAGTTTACAGGGTATGCAGCAGATAAATGTCATTTAGGGTGATGTAATGTTATCTATGTCAAAGTTGATGATGGTGATAATGCTTAACAACATACAATAATAACAGGTATAGATACATTTAATAAGATATATAAAACACATCACCATATCTATAGATAAACAATAGCACATGCTATTTTGTGAGCGTTTTATTAAAGCAGTTTACAGGGTATACATCATACATATGCCATTTAGGGTGATGTAATGACATTCATGTCAAAGGTGATGATGGTGACAATAGATAATGAAAAAGTTTTTAGCAATGCCACATTGGGGATGGCATGGCATGTACAAGGAGTGAGGGCGCGCCACATCATTCACCAACAGACACCCAGTTCACCCAGACACCCAGACACAACAAGACCAGACAACAGCAACCCGAGACTAAAATTAGAGCAGGTTGACATTCACGATCATCGTTGACTCCTGTCCTATGTTAGTGTTTCGCGACATACCAAGGAGGGACTGGGAGATAACAGCACATCAATGTGAAGAAATACCATATTGCCGTGCCAGCGTTTAAGTCCACAGTCGTCCACACCATGCCACTTTGGTGAGACAGCGACCCTCGCTTGAAACGTGCCCCCTGCACGCTGCAGATGGCATGAGGTCTGGGCTAACGCTATCGGTTCCTCGCGAACTTTCAGCATATTGCTGACCTATCACAATCGGATTTCCGATGTTCTAGTTACACTTTTACGCATCTCCAAGTGAGTTCATCTCCAGTTTAACATACTGACAGCTTGTAGACAGCATAAGTGTTGTTGCTACATCAGAACACCACAACCGTAGGTTCAGAACACTGAGTTTAAGAGCTTTATTTATGTTTTTCATTAATGTCCGTGTCATCTTTGTGCAGCTACGTGCATACACACATATAACATACCTACTTAAGTGTTGTGTCCAGCCCGCCCCTCACCTGATTGGGCGGCTCGTGGTGGGCCGCGGAAGTTGACCCCGGCAGAGGTCACCAGGTCATAGCCTGCGGCGCCACAAGAATGGTGACGCCGGGCGGGCGCGCTGCGAGCGGGGGGGAGGCAGGGCTGGGGACGCGTGTAGAGATGCCTGATTCGCTTGGTGTTGTGTTACGTCAAAGGCAATGCAAGTCTGATTGCCAACGGACTTACATGGAGCGGCGTGACGGAGGCAGTGAGGCGAAATAATACACCAACATGCAAACTAAGAGTTCATTATGCGTTTTCCACGTAGCGCTCTAGCTGTTCGTCTTCCGCCAACATAAATGCTTCGGGTGAAGAATCCCTGGAAAAGAGTCATTCGCGTTTTGAGAAGATTTGCGACATGGTGCGCATCAACCTAAATTCGCCGGAGTCTCATGTGGTTCGTTAATTGATGCTAATTTCGATTCCGAATCAAATCAAGCGAGAGCCTGTCGGAGTATTGGTATGTCTGACTGGCGGTTAGCAAATCACCTCTGTACGCGCATTACTCCACACACATAATGACATAGCTATAGCAAACGGCAACAGCATGCACAGAAATCTGACACCTGAAGCAGCTGATGGCATGCCTGGTGACATCTAGTGAGCATTTGAACAAGCATGGTCACTAGCCAGACCACCACTACGCCATGGGTGGGTGGGGGTTAAGAGGCGGAGCAATGGTGACTAGGTGTAGCGCCACCAATTTTTAGTTAGTGAGGGGGGCAGAATTTTCCAGCGGGCCCCTGGACAAAATGGGCCTCACCAAATTAGAGAAGGAGGGGGGGGGGAGGATCCTCTGCAGTGTTGTATGTCAAGAGGATGATGCACCTAGGGCATGGGGCCCGGGTCGAACTGCTACATTATCACATGCAAAGTAAATGGAAGTCGACATCAAGCAAACCGAAAATGGTGGCCTGCAGGCATCCTGTTCCATAAAGGGGCTTCCGATTGCATAGAAATACCTTCTAGTCCAGAACAGCATACTTCCGATTCAAGAAGAGGCTTCCAAATCTAGTTGAGGGGTCCCGCTATCCCCAAACAGGTCGTCCTGATTCGGAGCCGCGCCATCGGATGCATGCAGTGGACTTCCTGAATGTAGAGCGTGCCCTTTAGCCCAGAATAGAGCCTCTTAGTTTGTAAAGGGGGCCTCCCGAGTCAACAAATGTGCCTCCTTAACATAACATTGGGCCTCCCAATCTAGAGCGTTGGTCATCTTAT